AAAAAAAACACAAAGAAATGGAGAGGTTTCCATGCTCATGGCTAGGAATAATACACATTATCAAGATGGTCATCCTAACCAAAGCAATTTTCAGAATCAGTGCAACCCCACTAAAGATTCCAATGGCATTATTCAAAGAAATAGAACAAATGTTTCTGAAATTCATAAGAAACAACAAAAACCCCTCCTACTTCCGTACTTCCAACTATAATATGGAGCAATAATATTTGAAACAGAACGGCACTAGAACAAAAGCAAACAGAGACCAAAGGAATAGAATTGAGAGCCCAGAAATAAAGCCATCTATATGTAGACAACTATGACAAAGGAACAAAAATATTCACCAGAACAAAGAAAGCCTCTCCAATAAATGGTGCTGGATTGCAACATACCAAAAAAAAAAAAAAAATGCTAGAACACTATCACATTCCACACACAAAAATAAACTCATAGTGGATAAGTCTCGGATGTAAGACCTGAAATCATTAATACATAGAAGAAAACATAGGCAAAATACTCCAGAATTTAAACTTCAGACACACCTTTGTGTCTGAATCATCTCCAACAGTATGGAAAGCAAAGGAGAAAATAAACACTGGGACTACATCAAAATAAAACCAAAGAGAAACCCTACTGAGTCGAAGGAAAATATTTCACATCAGACATCTGACAAGGGACTGATATCAAAGTGCTACAAAGAGCTCATACAACTCAACAAATATAAACAACCCAATCAAAAAATGGGCAGAAGAGCTAAATAGGCACTTCTTCAAAGAAGATCTGCAGATGGCCAACAGGCATATGAAAAAGAAATATTCATTATCATTTATCATCAGAGAAATGCAAACCAAGAACACATGAAGTAGCACTTCACACCTGTGAGAATGGACATTAAAAAAAAAAGATAAAAACAGAAACAAGTACAGCCAAGGATGTGTAGAAAAAGGGTCCTTCTTATACTTTTGGTAGAAGTGTAGACTGGACTAGCACTTATGGAAAGAAGTTTGGAGACGCCTCAGCAGACTAAAAGTGAATTGACCATATGACCCAGGAATTCTACTCCTAGGTATCTATCCAAAGAACACAAAACACTAATTCAAAAGGAAATTTGCACTTCTATGTTTTATTGGAGCACTATTTACAATAGCCAGGCTATGGAAACAACTACCTATCTCAGGTGAGTGCATTAAAAGATGTGGTAAGCATAAATACAAAATGGAATACACTCAGCAATCAAAAAGATAAACTCATGCCATTGACGGTCACCAGGATGTATCTGAAAGGGATTTTCAACTGTGGGTGCAGTTCCCAGAACAAATTGATAAAATGTTAATTTACACTAAGAAAATTATTCTAGAAATAGCTAATAGAATGAAGACACTGAATGAATAAAGGAAGATTCATACAGTAAACATACTTTTTATCATATGCTTACATGAACAAGACAGAAAGGTAGAAAATGGAAAGCATTTATGGACAGGCTCTCTTTGGGGAACAAAGAGATCTGTTTACTTTTGAGCAAAGAGAAGGCTTTACAGGCACAGGGCCTCCCTGGTACCCAAAGGATTAAGACTCAGCACTATCACCACTATAGCTTTGATCCCTGAGCTGAGAACACCCACATAAGCATCTGTTTCTGGTGAATTCTTTTACCCAACCCCTATCCTACTGACCACTGACCTACATGCCAGTTTTCCTACACAAACACACACAAAAAAGTAAATATCCTTTGTTCTTTAAAAAAAAAAAAAAAAAAAGGGCCCTCCCTGGTGGTGGTGCAGCGGGTTAAAGCACAGCACTGAGAATCTAAAACCACTTTCTCATGAGTTCGATCCCCGCCTGTCCCCGGAGGAGATCCACATAGCGAGCAGACCTCTCCTGACCCGCCCGCTGCTCCCCTCAGCAGTGTACTTCGTTGATCTGCCTGTTCTGTTCCCCACTCTGTCTCTGGTGAATCCTCTCACCCTCCACATCTCTGGCCTGTACCCCAGTTCCATATGAATAAATAAATAAATCTTTAAAAAAAAAAAAGCCAGGCACAAAAATAAGGACCGTTTGCCAACCTGTGGATTCAACAAGCACCAGTGGCATTAGTGGTGGGTACGATCTTAACACATAAGAAGAATGTTGCCAAAAAGAACTAGATTTTAAACAATTTCTACTTACCTTCTCTGGCAAAATATTCCAGGTGTTCTAATGTCTCTTGTACAAAGATAGAATCTTTTGAAAGTCTTTCATAAATAACTGTATCCTGTCCAAAAAAGAAAAAAAAATCCTGTGATTAACATGTAAGTCTGCTAATCAGAAATCTAAATACTACCTCATATTTTTACTACATCAATAGAGGTGATAGAGTTCAAGCAGCCCCAGTGAAGTTCTCCTATGCCAACTCCTCATCCAAAATGTGGCGTATAATTTGACGCCAGCCTCAACTGCTAAGCTGTGGTCAAGCATTAGTTAAGCACTGACTATGTAAGGACTATGGTTGAGACAAGGCTACCAGTCAGGAATCGTTCTGTTTGCTTTTCGAATATGTAGGTAATTTTCTGTTCCACTCCATTCACCAAAATATTCTAAAGGATTTCCTACAAGTGACTGAAGCATAGAAGGAAAGAGTTATTATGAATAATGAATCCCAGTACTTACAGCCCCTTTGCAGTACAGACGGAGATTTCCTGTAGGAGTTCGTACAATTACAGACATCCTTTTCCTATAACTAAAACGTTATTAAAAGTATTAGTTTCCATTTTCCTCTGTAGATGACACTGACACACAAATATCAAAGTCAAAATTACTGTAAAAAGAGTCCTCAGCTGATCAGTAGTGAAAAGGCCAGCATATTGCTTGTTAGTCTTCATTTCTATTCCCAGCTTCTTAAACTGAGAGTCTAAATCTCACATTCTTCAAGTAGTGATATATTTTGCTGTCCTTTTCATTCACTGAAATTTACTCAAATCCATATAATTACTATATATATCATGTACAATGTCACATTCTACATTAGTATTACATAATACTATGTTACATGTAATGTATTGCTTGTGATATTTTACATAATACACATATAAAACAATATATTGTATAATAATTGTACCATATACATATATGTGTATGACTCATGTTATGTGTGTGCATAATACATAGCTAAAACACATATATAACAAGAATTATCTGTACACACCACACAAACATACAGCACTGGGTCTTTTCATGTTCAATCCGCATATCATCACTATCAAGTAGACCTCTTCTCCCCATTTTGCTACACAGAGAAGTCCAAGTATTGACTCAGTAAATACCAGCAATTGTGTACAGTACTGGAAAAATCCTCTGGAATTTTTTTTAATTGTAGATAGAATTTAAATGCATTGCTTTTATACCTGACTAAGTAGTCCAAACAGGTTTGAATGTCTCCCCTCTCCACTTTACCCCACACATTGTCATAGTAAACTGTTTCAAATGGCACTCAGTCCTCACCCATATTACTCCTTCCTACAACTCAAATAACACTGTGCTAGTTAAAGTCCTCTCATGACTTGGGGTTACATATAACTGGCAATTCCTTATCTTGACTGCAAATCCTGCTGTGACGAGATTCCCCAAACTCTCCTTCTGTATTGTTTTTTTCTCTCACTCCACAGCCACTAACTAGATTGATGTTCATTTTGTTTCTTGATGCTGATATCAGTAGCTTTCAGGATCTTGGCTCCAGCTATCCCCTCTGCCTGGAATGCTCTTTTTCACACTTCCTAGGCTTCCTCTTTCCATCTTTTAATATCATCCCAAATCTTACATCTCAGAAAAGCTCACTTGGCAACTCAAAGGTAAATTCGACCCCAACAGCACCATAGTCCAATTCCACCAGATCAAACTATTTAATTTTCTTTGTAGAACTTATCAGGACCTGAAACTCTCATTTGTTATCTGTTTATTATATGCCTCCCTCCATTAGAGATAAGGCCTACAAATGCTGACCTCATAGCCATTCTAGTTAGAAACAGAGAAAAGTGACTGGCATTTGACAGATGCTCAAAAATACTTGTAGCTGTGTAGACTGAATTCTACCCCATTAAGATGAAAATGTGTTTTTACATTCTCTAATGTTCCTTTCACCTCTGGAAATACAGACCATTGATAATTCCAGACACTTTGGAGACAGGTAGATCTGGATTGAATCTTGAGGAACGGGACTCCTACCCTCCTGGAACGTCAGTCTAGTTGGTGAGACAGTCAGTAAGTACCAAACCCGATTTAAAATTTCAGTGCTGGCTGTGATGAGTGCTGGAATAGATGGATATGTGAACCCATTTCAACTCCAAAAGAGAATTCAGCCTAATGAGTGTTAAGAAATGAGAAGTGAGCTGTGTTTAAGTATGGATAGAGGTTAACTAGAATTTCATGATCTTGTATTCAAAGTTTGTATTTACATTACCAAATCTCGATTCAGTAGTTGCAGAAATGGCCCTGGGGAGTACATAAATGGAGTGGGGAAAAAAAAAGTAGCTTACCTTGAAAATTCCAGGATATTAAGAATTTCAAAGGTAAAAATTTTTCCCATCTGTAGAAATGTAAGACAACATACTCTTACTGAAGGAAAAAAATTCCTTTCAAACAACTCACTCTCCCAGTTACAAACAGTTTTACTCTTCACCTACACATCTCTTTAAAAATACATATTTTGGCCCTCCCTGGTGGTGCAGCAGGTTAAAACACAGCACTAAGAAGCTTAAGCCGCTTCCACATGAGTTCTAACCCCACCTGCCCCAGAGGTGACCACATGACACGCAGACCTCTCCTGACCCGCCCACTGCTCCCCTCAGCAGTGTACTTTGTTGACCTGCCTGTTCTGCTCCCCATTCTGTCTCTGGTGAATCTTCTCACCCTCTGCATCTCTGGCCTGTACCCCAGTTCTGTATGAATAAATAAATCTTTAAAAAAATAATACCTATTTTTTTTTTTTACAAGTCTGATGAGATGATGGTGCCCTCCTCTGGTAAGAACATCATTTGTACCTAAGCAATAGTATCACAAATATTTCTGATAATGCAGATTGAAGACTGAACCATCTCTTCAGTCTAAAATCAGCACTTTTGAAACAATTTATAAATACCTGTAGATGTAAGGGATATGTGGAGTGAATAAAACAATAAATTATACAGATCAAATGAAGTCCTTAGTCCTTAGATAATTTGAGGAGATAAACATGGAAAGAGGCAGCACACTGTCAAAGTTTAAATTAGTGAAACATATATTCTTTTATACAACTTCCAGTTACAGCCTTAACTTTCTAGTCAGTTAATCAGGATCAGTTATCCATGATCAATTTATTTCTAAATCTACATGTGTCCAGTTTCACCAATATGACAGTGCAGAATTTCAATTCGAGTCATCATGTACTCTGGATGTAGGAAGGAATGAGTCCCTTTTACCAAAGATTCCACATCTTATAAACAACTCTAACCATTGCACATCTGCCATCTACATTGCATTGCTTTGTTTGTTTCACCATAATATCAAAGTTTTGTGGTAAGTAGTCATCAAGATATGAAGAGATAACAAAGAGAGAGAGAGAATCAATTCACCAAAAGATAGTTTGAAGCATTTCAAATTTGACAGGAGAAATATATGTATTTGTTGAACATCTGATATCTCTTTGGCTTGCTATTAAGCACAACCTCTGTACCAAGCAGTAATTCTAACTACTTTACTATATTAATTCACTTAATCCTCACAAGGACCCTGTAACATGCATGATGAGAAATGGTGGCAAACACAGAGAAATTACAGGACAAACCCAAAAATAATGTCAGGGAAGATGCGGGGCTGGGGACTCCGAGGTCTGACTCTGAACTGCTGTTATCTTTGTGTCTCTCTGGAAGAGCGAGGGCATGACACTGTTGGGAGTACAGAGGAGGCTACTCACAGCTTCTATAGTGACAGAGGATGGTGTTCTGGTAGTGAAAACAAAGCCAAGTTTCTTTGCTCCCTTCACTAACGCTGCTTCATCTGTCAATGAAAAGTCTGCATTAATGGAGCAAATGTATTAGCACTGCATTTAGTAGAATACAGATTTCCATTCTCCAGTATTAAAATACTCGATCATTTTTTAAACTTGGGGTTTTTGATCCAAATGTGATCCTCTGTGCTTCAGGGCACCAGATAGTGTTCATAAAAAAAGGAAATTGAGTGAAATGGGGTCTTTTTCAGTGGAGCCAAGATAAAATATCACCAGTCTGAAAGTGAAATACTTTCTCAGTACTCATTATGGTCCTGCTTGCTGTCCAAGCCATGAGTAGCATTAGTAACATCAACACTCTGAAGTGTTGCAGGCCTTAGCTTTGCTCTTCTTGACTGAGCGCATTTTTGGACATGTCAGTAGGGGAGTACAGCCACTTACATACCATTGAAGGAAAAGTCTCTATCTTTGACCGAGCACGCAGCTTCAGGAGGGACCACATGGAGCACTGACGAGGAAGGAGAAGACTGCCTGGCCAGCCAGGCCAGCCCAGTCAACCCTGATGGTCAGTGGGGCGGCACATGTGGCAGCCAGATTGCCCCCCATCCACCCCTGTCTTTTTGAAGACCACCAAATATGCTACTGAACCCTGACTTCCTGAGCTACTCCCTCCCACACCCACTTCCTAAGAAGATTTTTGGGGGTGTGGGGCGTAGCAGACCACAACTGCAGCACTGCACCATACCACAGATGCACCCTAACTGGTAAGAACTTGAGAGAAAGAGAAAAAAGGAGCAACCAGGGAAGCAGTAAGAGCATCACCTCTCCCTAGGCTCATCACCTGCCAGGTGCTCTCCATGTACACACCACCTACCTGGGGAGGAAGCCTGGTAGATGATATTATCCCCATTTCTTTCTGGAATAACAGTGTGACACACACATAACATGGTAAGAAATTCTTTTATGTATTCATCTGTGGGCTATAAAAAAAAAGGCACAGAGCTAATAAGTCTCTTCCAATACCAGCAAAATAAGTGTGAAATTTGTGCAACTGAAGCTTCTTTCTGTTCAGCTACAAGCAGTCAGATGCCAGCTAAAAACCGTATTGTGCTTTCCAAATATGTTTGTGACATGGCTACCAAGTCCAGGACACTATAGGTTGCTGGAGAGACCACTAAGAATCAGACAACCCTCCCCTCTTAGAGCTTCTATTCTTCTTAAGAATACAAGTTTTCTTGAAGTTGAAGGAAAAAAAAATGGGCTATAATAAAGACAACAGCAGCCAATTTTAGATAGGTGGTTCAGGAAAAAAAGATTATTGAAATCATGTTTTAATTGAAATCTAGAAGGAAAGGCTAGTTAGCTGTGCCAGTTTACATGTGACAATAGCACTTAGTAAACAAAGGAAATAACACTTTAAAGCCCCCAAATTAAGGAATAGAGTCATATGTTTGTGGTGCTTCAAGACCTGTGTGACTTTGGTATCTTTATTAAGGTGAACGATGACACAGGGTGAGGTTGGAAGGAAAACCACAGTAATGAGCTTGGGCTTTAACTTAAATGTGATGTTAGTCCTCAGAAAATTTTAGAAGCAATGGAAGGACATATGTGGATTTATGTTTGAAAAGACCACTATTGCTTTTGACAAGATCAGTATTTTAAATAAAGTAGGTCAATAGCTTGAAACAGGTAGGTAAAGATAGGTATAGGTGCAGTGAAAGCAAACACCTTAAAAGCAAATAGAAGTGATCTTCCATAGTTGGTCCACAGTAAAGAGTTTTGTGTAATGTTTGAGTTCTCTCACACTAAGTTCAGTGCTCAGTTCACATGGGTATATGGACTCTGATATATTATCATCAACAATTTGTATATGCTTTCTCTTTTTTCTGAGCTCAGAAAGGTGTGTGTTTTAGGAAAATATATATATGTGTCAAAGCTATAGAGCATTACATCATTGACTAGAATGGAGACAACACACTTACATGGCCATTCTTTAAGTTCTCCAGTAATGCTGGATCATTAAAACCACAGGAATCTAAGATGGAAGATGGCTGACTGAAGAAGAGCAAAGAAGCATCTTGTTAACAAAACATTCCTGACAACACCAGTTTGTAATTAGAAATTCTAAAGCAAACAAATTGCCTTATCCATTTTAGTAAGTCACACTTTAAACGTCTATAAAAATAGATAGCAAATATTTATAGCACTGTCAACTGCCATATGCTCTCAGGCCCCTACTTGCAATGGGCATTCAAAAATGCCTGAAACTTGTATTAAAAACTGTACAGTTAGAAGAATTTGAGAAAGAGTAACCACAAAAGCAATAAATTAAGCACAATATTTTTAATTCTTTGAGCACCACATGGGAAAGATCTGTCCGGGGTGCTCCCTGGAGGTTTGAACAATGAGTGTCCTGGCAAAGAAGAAAAGAATGTTGGCAAATTTAAGTTTTCTGCACCAACATCACTTGGGTTTGACTGACTTGTAAGGGAGATGAATGGGGAAGCCAACAGTTACAAAGAGTACAGATATAAAGCTCCTTAGTGATAGAATAAACCATAATCTTTATCACTTACAAGTTTTCATATAGGTTATATTAAGTTTCAATCTCATTTAACTATAGCTATGCTGTTATAAATTCAGATACATTTTGAAATTAATAAAGTTTAATTTTATAAAGAAAAAGAAGAAAATTCCAACAGAGTGTGGCATTAAGAACACTTACCCATAAACTATACCTGCTATAGTACACATCTTAAGTGTCATAATATTGCGAGTGAGGGTTCCTGTTTTATCAGAAAATAAGTATTTTACCTGAACCAAAAAAAATATATATATATATCAGCATGAAATGATCCAAATTTCAATTGTTTTAGGGCAAAACGAAAATTATTTCTCTTTTAATACTTAAAATGTGAATTTTTAGAAAACAAGAATTTCCACTTGCAGGAATTTTGCCATTAATATTTTTACTTTGTTGAGAGGTCATACTCTTTATTTTACATAGTAACTGTGAACCTATGGAAATATACAAATGAACGTTTGGATTGTCAAAACTATGAAAATCAGAAATTTAAGTTTGATTTCTTAACCACAAGAATTTTATCAAAAGCACTTAAAGAACATTAGGTAGGTAGGTAGAATGATATGGATGGATGGAGAAAGAGACTCATGTCAATATAATATGTATATCAGATTAAAAAAATTCAAACTAATTTTAATCATGACCATAAATATAATGATCATTTTAAAAAATATATGTATTCAATTATTTATGCATACAGAACTGGGGCACCAGCCAGAGGCAGTGGGGGGAGAGAGGAGCCACCAGAGACAGAGTATGGTGCAGAACAGGCAGATCACTAAAATACACTGCCAAGGGGAGCAGCAGGAGGGCCAAAAGAGGTCTGCCATGCCATGTGGGTCACCTCTGTGGCCAGGAGTAGAACTCGTACTGCAGGGCTGTGATAGCCTCATAGTCTTGCATCTCAACCCATTACACCACCCAGGAGAGCCCCATCTTGCTCATTTCTAAAGATAAATGAAATTCTGTAGATGACCATTTCTGCTCAACAGATAATGTGAAGTGCTATGGAGTTAAACAGTTTTAAGATCTCTCTATTATATAAGAAGAAAAAGATAGAAACATTAGATTCCATTAAATATACTAACAAAAAATGATAAAATTCCAAAGCTATCATGTAAGTACACAAAAACACATTTATAAAATGTGATTTTTTAGAGTCTCATGCGCTACCAACTGAGCTATCTGGGCTGCCAATGGGATTTTTTAAAAGAAAATCAAGGATGGAAAGCGGCTCAGCAAATAAAAATTAAGACCAAAAATGCAATCACAATACCAAACACAACAAATGATAAAAGTAAGGGTAGAAGGATGTTAAGTAATGATAGAAGAAAAGATTTACAAGGACAAATGGCAACAAGGAACGTGTGCAAACTATAAGTAAACAGATAAAATCAAAAAAAGTGATGAAACAAAAAATATTTAAGAAAATTTGGAACAATTCTTTCAGTATTTCAGATTCTTTGAGATGTTAATTTCAGATTTGAGTAGATAACATAAAAGAAAATGGGAAAAAAAAACGTAGAAGAAAATGTTAACCATAAGTGCTTGATTATTAAAGAAGGAAAGTGAAAAGTGAAAAAAAAATGCTCTTTTTAAGAAAGTACAGAGAAAATGAAAGGAACCAGTTGGAGGAACTAATATAAATACATCAATCATAGAAATCATAGGAACATTCTGAAGGAAAAGTGAGTGTGAGAGTAAGTGTGTGTATCTTTGTAATATTAAAATCATCTCATATAACTACCTCTACAGGATATTTATTACATGTTCCTTGCAATTCTAACAAATTAAGAAAGCCAAAATGGAGAATTTCCTAGTAAAATATAGATTGCAAATTAAAATAAGAAGTGCAATTGGGAAGACAAGTAAAGATCTATATTGAAAAGGGCAAAAGAGACCTTCCATCCTTTTAAGTAATATAATAGTTTACTTTTTACATTATTTTGTACCTTTTTCCATCTCAGTTGTAATCCCGTTGGCTTCCCATCACCAAATCACCCTTGTGTCATCACCACAGTCCAGTGCACTTCCTCCCCCCACCACTTTTGATCCCATTCCCCACTCCATCCCCATAAAATGAAGAGACCTTCATTTTGTGTAATGTTATGACTAAATAACATGAACTTTCCTTCTGATGAACACTAGAGTAATGAAGGTAAAATATAAAAACTAATGTTTTAAAATGTTTCAGTTTTCCCAGAAGTAAATAATCCTCAGAAGTCAAATTCAGAATAGAGAAAGTTATTTTCTCTGAGTGTCAAGCCCTAGATACATTAAATCTTCACCTTGAAGGCACACAGGAGTCAGAAGGTAGTCGGTTACACAGGTAGAAAGTCTAATAGAATATCCCTCATAATTCTGGCTAAAGGAGTAGAGTCCTCAAAGTAAAAGTGAAAGAGAATGAGTTTGCATAAGTAAATCTTGAAGCAGGGTGAAAGAATGAGTTTCTCTTGAGAATGTTAACAAAATTTGGCTTCTCTGAGGCCTTGTGGCCAATTCTCCTGGTACCTTAAGAAGAGGATTTAAAACAGTCATATGATTGGCAGAGGTAAATGCAAATGCTTTCTGTACAAATGCAGCTTCAACCCAGCCCTCAAAGAATTCCTACCAAAAAAAATTCCAAGGGTCATAGGTTCATAATCAAACTAAAACACCTAAAATGAAAACCAGCAGAAAAATAAGAAATAGAATCAGATCCACAAATAATTAGAATCAGAGTATAATTTATTAGAATCAGAATTTAAAATAACTAGGTTTTATGTGTGCCCTTTTAAAGAACAGTTTAAACACATGAAAAAGGAAAAGGGAAATAAAAATAAATGATATATATATTTTTCTTGACAAGACAAGGAAGAGATTCGGGAAGGTGATGATGTCAGAGGAAGCTCCCTACTTCACTCCAGGGGTAATGGACTAAGTGTCCAGATAGGCACTGGACTCATAGGACCCCACAATGCTGGCAATTCAGAGTGTCACACAAAATCTGGGAATCAATACTGACTGCACAACAGAAGAGACTCTAACAAAATTTAAATCAGGCAACAAAAGTGTGAGTGTGGAGAGGCTTCACCACAGAGAAAACTGGTTCTTTTCCACACCTAGAGGAAAGACAAATCTGCTGTGGATCTAACCATGATGGGAGATAGAGGTGAGAGTTCTCAGCTGAGCCAGGCAAACAAGGCCTGAGGTGAAGAAGACACAGCTCCCTTCAGAAGGCACAGTTCCCCCACCCATTTGTCTCTGAAGTGGGCAGGTATGAGGACCAAACAGATACAGTGAAACTGCTTTGGAAAGCACCAGGGAAAGGTGTGGGCAGAAACCTGGTGGAGCTTACAACAGTAACAGCCTCAAGTCAGGCAAAAGCTCCCCAGCAAGAGACTTCCTGGACCCTCTTCCACCCTCAGAAGACCCAGCTAGAAGTTAGTTCTCCCTGGCATACAGTGCCATCTACTGGAAAAGTAGAAGCTCTGTACCCTTAATTTTAAAATAATAATAATAATAATAGTTTATATCATTTTGCCCCTTTTTCTACAAAGACATGTGTCCTATCAGATACAGAATAGAAAATTGCCATGGTAAACAAAATTCAAAGAAGTGCAAGAAAATAGAAAAGATGATCAGATATACAAGAAAACTCTAAAAACAGAGGAATATCCTAGAAATAAAACCAATAAACAAAAGACTGAAAATGAAAGTTTCACTAAAAATATAATGGATATGTAGGGTGGAAAAAATGTCAATAGACAAGGTAAAAAATTGTGGAGAAAGCACCAATGGAAGGTTGAATCCATGACTTTGAAGCTGGTAATGCAGAGAATACTGATGGAAGAAGAAAGAGATAAAGGAAATAAAAAGTAAACACTTAGAGAATTACCTGATTCAAAGAGAGAAGGCAATATAAGAATAATGGTATCTCAAAAATGGGAACGAGAAAGAATAGAGAATTTTTTTACATAAGTAATACAGGAAAATGTCCAAACACGGAGAAGGAATTAAATATAAAATTCCACGCAGCTAAAGAAACACCCCATTGTCTAAACAGAGTAAGGGCACAACCTTCCACAATGTATGGGACACAGCATAAACAGCACTAAGAAAGATTTATATATCAACACAGGCTGACATCAAGAAAAAGAGTCCAAATAAATAACCTTAAATCTCACCTTAAAGAACTAGAAAAATAATAGACAAAGCCAAAAGCCTATAAATGGAATGAAATTTTTAAAAATTAGAGCAGTTAAATGAAAGAGAAATCAAAAAGATAGTCCAGAAAACTAATGAACTAAAAATTGATTCTTTGAAAGATTAAGCAAAATGGAGAAACAGGGTCACAAAGAGGGGAAAACTCAGATAAATAGTATCAGAAATGAAAGAAGTTACACACACATATCTCACCAATTCAGAAGCATAGAAGTAGAGATTACTATGAACATTTGTATGTTAGTAAGTTGAATAACCTAAAAGAAATGGACACATTCAAGAATTGAGACCAATTACTAGCTAGGAAATTAAAGCAGTAATCAAAAGTTTCCTTAAAAACAAAATTCCAGTGCCACATGGCTTTATTAGTGAGTTCTGCCAAACCTTTAAAGATGAATTATCCTGATCAGATTCTTCAAAAAATTTGAGAAAAAAATGATATTTCCAAACAGATTTTATGAGAGCAACATTACATAGGACCAAAATCACACACACACACACAAAAAAACCCTACAGACTAATTTCCCTAATGAACATAGAGGCAAAAATCCTCAATAAAATCTTAGCAAACCAAGTCCAACAGTGTATTAAATGTATTATACATGACACCCAAGTGAGATTTATTGCTGGAACACAAGATGGTTCAATATCTGTATACCATTACCTTAACAAAAGGAAAGAGAAAAATCCATATGGCTATATTCATAGGTGCCCAGAAAGCATGTGATGAAATTCAATGTCCATTTATCATTAAAACCCTCAAACAACTGAAGGTAAATAGTGAGACATCTCTCAATATAATAAAGACCATACATGACAAACCTACAGCTAGCATCATTCTCAATGGTGAAAAACTGAAAGCTTTCCCAATAAGATCTGATTCAAGATAAAGCTGTCCACTTCCACCACTACGATTCAGCATAGGACTGGTAGTCCTGGATAGAACAGTCAGGCAAGAGAAAGACAAAAGGAATGTAATCTGGGAAAGAAGCAAAATTGTCTTTGTTTGCAGCTATATGAGAATATACATTGATCATCGTACAGACTCTGTGGAAAAGCTAATTAAAGCAATAAACCAGGGCCTCCCAGGTGACCTAGAGGTTTAGTCTCAGTGCTATCGCCACTATGGTCTGAGTTCAGTGCAGCAGACCTTTCCTGTCTCTACTGGTGCTCCCTTAGCTGTGCCTTTCAGCAAATAGCCTGTTCTGCTCCTCACTCTGTCTCTGGTGAATCCTCTCACCCCCACCCCAATCACTGCACCTCTGGCCTACATCCCAATTCTTTTATGCAAGAATATTAGGAAATAAAAGAGACAGCATAATAAACCACTTATCTAAATGTCTGCTGGTAAGTTGGTATTATTCATGCCTCTTATTATATTGCAATCTAGAAACTCTAACTCCTTTTACTCCATCATTTATCAGCAGGATTCCAAGTTAGAGTCTACCCAGAATAATTTGCAGCAAAAAAATTAGAAGCTATACTATTACCCTTTCAGAGCTTTGGACAGATGCATGAGTTTAGCAGGTGTGAAATTTTGCAGCAGCCGCTAGAAGCTCCTCTTGAGTGCCATCTGCCTCAAGGAACCAGGACATGCCCACTATTGGCAGGTCCCAGGCTGCCTGTAACTCCATGAAAACTAGCTGAAAAACCTAGAGTTAACCCAAGTTTTCCCTATCTGCCCTTCCAGCTTTATTTCACTCTTTCATGAACATGTGACCACCTGCATTCTTTCTATTCTACTTGCAACCCATGATGCAATAGTATCAATATTTGAACAAATTCTGTTGTTGAGTCTCCACAAGGTATCAATCCTATGAACTATAATCTGTCACTGAATATGGCATCTTAAATTTTGCTCCCTAGATCCACCTCCTTGGGAGCTCCTATCACACGGCCCAGTCCCAGAAGGGCCCTCACCTGCCCAAGCTCTTCATTCAGATTGGATGTTCTGGCCATTGCATAGACATTATTTTTTTTGTAATGCATATCTTCATCCTGCAAGAAACGAACACAACAGCCAAGCCACAGTCAGAACTAGGCTTGACATGTCTTCAGGGTGGCTCTACTGCTATTTTTCTTTTCATGTGCCTGACATTGAGAAAGAATTCGTAAAAAAAAAAGCCTAGAATATTTAGATTTGAGCAATACATGCTATATTATCACATATGTTGGGAGAGTTGGTTCAAGAAAAGCAGTGCCATGGAGAAGCAAATTTTGCTGTGCTGATAACTTAGAATTGGAAGGTGACCTTCAAATCCTAGCTCAGTCTCAGACATGCTGTAGGACTTTGGGTGTGTCTTGCCTACCATAACTACAAAATGGGAGTAGTTCCACAGATCTCACAGCTGTGATGATTAAATGATAATGCATTTGAAAGTATTTTGTCTCACTCTGAGGTTGTTGAAATAATGATGGTAGTAAGACACTGACACATTGAGAGGATAGCTATAATGTGACCTTTTCTTTTAAAAAAATATGAAAAATTACAACCCTACATTCAAATTGAAAATGTGTTTAGTCTCAACTTATTAAGAACTAACTACTGTCAACACAAGGTTGTTACCTAAGAAACCTTCTCCTGCATCTGAAGTGATTCTGTAATGACTCTGCCACTCTCTCCCTCTTTCTCTCTCTCTTTATATATATATATATATATATATACACACACACACACACACATCATTCTTCATTTTCTGCATTTTTCCATCTCAGTTGTAATCCCCGTGGACTTCCCACCACCACTTCACCCGTGCGCCATCACCACAGTCCTGTGTGCTCTTCCCACCTGTTTTGCTATTGTTCCCCTCTCCTTCTCTCCTGTTACTCTTGCCAAAATCCAGAAATCTACAGGATGTAATCTCCCACTATGAACATCTTAAATGTTAGTGGCTTAAGTATTTCTCTACAGTGACAGCCAAGCTGCTATCTCTTAAATCTTTCTTATCAGGTGGAAAAGAACAGAAATGGAACAAATGGGGGACCTGGCAGAGAAATCAGGTTCTGCTGAGTCAGCTGACAGCAATGCTGTGCTGGTTGACAGCTCCTCTGGCCTCCTGGCTCCACTGGCCCCTTGTAGGGATTTAGTTACTCTGATTGGTACAGAGAAAACCTACTCAATAGAGATCTTTTTAAAACTGATTTTAGTACTCACCCAGTTTATAAATAGTGCCTGAGTGTATTTCACCATTTCTAAAGTCACCAACAGACTAATTGGGATGAGATTGTTGTATAAGATGATGAACACTAATATGTCAAACCCAAAGCTATGGGGCTTGGAATCTGTGGAAGAAAATCAGAGGAAACAGATCTGTTTTAGGACGCATCTTTATTCCTATTTGTTTGCATTAGTACTTCTTAAAATTATAAAGTTATAATTAAAAGTATAATTTAGTATAATAGAGCTGGAAAACATTAAGCACCAACCATCGGATAGGGTAGGTGGGAAAAATGAAGATACAAGATTTAATAAAACAGAGATTAATAAAATTAATAAGATTTAATAATACACAGAGTGTCCTACTAAGCACCTGGCTCTCAGGGTGTTTCCGATGTAGCCTAAGTAAGATGCATCAGTAATTAAAGTGCCATGTGTTCCTGAGAGCACTGAATATAGAGTGAGGCAACAGACCAGAAAGCATAGGAAAGGGTTACAGAAAAGGAAGTGAGCAACATTTTGAAGAAGGGACTTTATTAAAGGCAAGAAACGGAAGAGAGTGAAGCAGAAGTAACAGCAGGTTTATAGTCAATGAGATTATCATTAGTTTTAAAACTCAAAAGCAGGAAAGTGAAGCCAAAAAAAAATTTATAGATGAATAGGACACTTTGTAAAACCAGGTGATGTACTTATTTTTAAACTGGCGTCTTTAAGAAAAGGTCATTTTCAATTAAGAATTCAACCTAATGTCCCCAAAATTTTCTTTAAATACACTAAAAGGTGTTTAGGGAACAAATATATTTTGATTTATTTATGTCTTTCTGAAAACTGAGTCTCAGCCTTATATGTAAAATAGACCTAACAGTTATGAGAAAATGGTTTATCACCGAAGAGAACTAAACATAATATATAAAGAAGATAATTTTAACACAAATCTGTATACAGACAAAATTAATTTTTAATTGAAATTTTATATTCATATTTGAGATTACTTGTAGTTTAGAATAGTAGCTACATATAAATTTCTAAATTCCACCAACCTAAAAGTGAAGTTTAATTGACTATCACATCTATTTAGACTCCTGTTATCTTGAGTTTGCTAACTTTCCCTTATTTGCAATGGCGATATTTTATACTTATGGTATTATTTTATGATTATAAATATTCTTTTAGGAAAACTAAAGGCAGATATTTTTACAGCCTTTTTATGGACAGAAAACTGGAGACATATGCATTGCTTTACTAGATTTATTAATGACTGAAAATGCAGTTACAGCTTTAATAATCCAATGTCCTATTCTTCTAAAATAGAGTTTCCTAGGCAGATTGGAATAGTCAGAGACAATTATGGTTTCTTATTCCAAACCACCAACTTCTGTGCATTTTAGTACACACAGAGAATCTAGAAAACAAGGAATTGGACTAGAATTCTGTTCCACTCTACAGTTAAAACTTTTAGCAAATCAATGGCTGAGTTCCTAATATGAAAAGACACTATCCCTGGAATTAAGGATACAAATATTTCTGTCCTGAAAAATTCAGTCTGGTTTAGATTTGGGGAAAGGAGCATTCAGAATATAATTATAAATGCAATGATCCTATCAAGGATATTTTATAGAAGCCAACGAGAACTCCTAACTTTAAAAAAAAAAAGTAGACGGAGGATAGGACATGAAAAAATGTTCCTTGAGGTGGTAATGCCTTATCTTAACTTTAAAACTAGTGACAAATATCTAAGCAAGAAGGGACCAGACACGTATTTGAAGCAGAATAGCCCTGGACCACAGTCTTAGAGATGATGAAGCAGCTAGTGGACTGAAGGAGTCCAAAAAGAAGTCCTCTGTGAAGAGAGAATATGTTCTTAGGAAGAAGTGTTGAAATATGAAGCGATAGAGATAAGGCCAGTTTATAAAAAGTCTGATGTGCCAGAATAAAGGATGTTTGCCTTGACCTTGTAGTCAGAAGTCAGAAAATATTACTCTAATAATCCAACGATATATATTTTAGGTTTTGTGGGCCATCCACATAGTTTCTGTTTTAAGTATTCAACTCAAAGTATGAAAACAACTGCCAACAATACATGAACAAGTGTAGCTGTGTGCCAATAAAACTTTATTTACAAAAACAAGCAGTAGCTTGCCAGCCCACTCCATCAATAGGACACCTCTGTAGCTGTGATACATTCATAATTACTTTTTATATGCATCCTTTTGGCAACAATAGAAAGGATGAATTTTGTGGAACATGAGTAAGAACTGGGCAGCCAGAAAGGACACTATGGTGTTTTCCAGGGATGAAAAGGAGAGTTCACAGAATCAGCAAGATTTAAAAATGTAGAATCACCAAGATTTTCTGACTGATTCAATGAAGAAAGCTAAAGATTAGAGTGAGGAGGAGAGGCAGAAATTGACAAGGAGGTGTAAGGCTGAGCTTTATGTTCCCACTTTGGATGATGACTGGATGTTGAAAACCAAAAACTAATTTGGGTGAAGATTAATTAATTTTTTATATGCTGAGGTAAGAAACTTACATGGTATCTAGAAAGCAGTAGGCAGGGAGCAAACAAATAGAAGACATCAAATGATGGGTGACAGTTGAAATTATTAGCACAGGTGAGCTCTTCTAGCAGTAGTATCTTATGTAAGAAAATTAGCCCCAAAGAAGCTGAGCAGGTGCTCTGCAGAATACAAGCACAAATGCACATGAATAACTTTTTTTTTTCACAAAATTTCAGAAATATGGACCTAAGTTAAAGAAATCCTGTTGAGACCAGAATGCTGAAAAAAATAGCTGCTAAGTCAAGAGTTTTCATGAAACAAGTAGTTAAGAAAAAAATAATTTTAAGTCAGACAAAGATGTCAGAGACCGAACCAAACAGCAATGTAAAACTGTCTACTAGGCTTGGCAATTAAGACCTTATTCCTAACCATGAGCAACAATTCAATAGACTGGTAGAAGTAGATAGAAGATTTAAATGAGTCCAAGAGGAATCAAGATGTAAGGAAATCGAAGTGGTATAGGTGTGGGTTGTCTCCTCTTTTAAGATATCTGATTGAGGAGGGGATGATATACAGAACATGAAAGTATGAGTGACTTTTGTAAGCTTTTACCTCAAAATCAAGATGTAAGGAAATCGAAGTGGTATAGGTGTGGGTTGTCTCCTCTTTTAAGATATCTGATTGAGGAGGGGATGATATACAGAACATGAAAGTATGAGTGACTTTTGTAAGCTTTTACCTCAAAATAAGATGATACAGTAAACAAGCAAATTTAAATCTGGATTACTTCTTTAAAGACAAACTCTTAGCCTGAACTCAAAATGGGAAGGTAACATCTAAAAACTCAGATTGCATCAGAATGAATTCTCTTTTTTGATTCTCTCAACAAAAGTATATTTTGATTTCTCTATTGCCTAAATGCTTCCAAACAGATTCCCTTAAGCGAAGTTAGATAATATAAAATCCTCAGAAATATATATCATAGTTTATTCTGCAAACATGGAAAAATGTTGTTGTTGTTTTTTTTTAATGCTGAGTAACACCCAGTTTACCGTATGGAATTGTTTACTGGCTAAAGGTCAGTTTGAACACTGAGTCCCCTTGCACCCCTTGTCTTCATTTTTCTTGAAACTGTTCATTGTACAGGAAGCTCTATACTAATTAGAAGAAGCAGGTGTTATTCCCTTTTTAAAAGGGGAAAAATACAGCCCAGAGAAATAAAAACACCTTGTCCTAATTGTAATGACTGAGGAAGAGTCAGACTGGGCCTTGGCATATCTGATACTCCTGTATCTACCGACTCCCCTTTCATCTCTATTCTGCAGTCCTAGGATTATATGGAATTAGCAGAACAATCTTAAAAATATCTTAAGAAAACCTTCTTTTTCTATATCTCATTAACCCTCAGTTTCCCAAAAAGAAAAAAAAATTCTTGGCAGTTCCAACAAGTGCCATCCCCTTTAAATAAAAACATGGAAATGAATCTTTAAAGTTACTTTTTAAAGTAATACAACTTCCAAAATGGAAGGTTTGTATGCCCTGGTGGTACTTACCGTTCTTCCTGATGTACCAACTCTCTTCTCCATACTTTTTATTCCAGAGTATGGCTCCTACAAAGCTTACCAAAGACATAAGCAAAAGTAGCAGGAACAACACCAGGATCTGCCCATTGGTCACTTTCTCAACCTTTGATCTCTTGAGAGGAGATTTAACTGAATTCTGCACCACAGTGTGCACACAAACACACACACGCCGAAAGAACATACAAATAAACAAAGGAATGATAGTGTTTAAATATTGTGATGGCTAGAAGTTGAAACATTCCAGAAATTGAAAGTACTTTTTTTCCCCAAATAACTTATAAAGTGTGTCACATTGTTGAGTGAATGTGGCTTTTCTATTGCAGTTCTCAAAAACATCATTTACTAATTCATAGAAAGCATACTCGGATGGTAGATCTATCATCAAAGTACTAGGGTGCTTGCAAAACCAAATGTGGTAAATCACAGTCTAGATGATCTTCTGTAAGGGAAAACAAACAAACAAAGGACCTCACTAATATGTTGTTTTCCCACTTGTAGTTATTGAATTACTTCCAGTTTAAAAACCAAGAAAGGATAACTTTCATCTGAGCCTGTTGAGAAAATATTCAAGATATTATCAGTACAATATTGCTCTAACATATGCAAATTTTACAGAAACAAAATCTCTGGGGTAGGAGTGAGGGGAGCATTCATAAATTTCACACTTATTCATAAATTTCTGCGTAATTTCCCAAAGAGATTTACTGGGACATTGGCTATACACACACACACAACACACACACACACACACACAACTTTTCAATGATATTTTATCAGATTACAGTTATCATTTCCATAATGTAATTAAAATGTGCAATATAAATGCTCACTATTCAACTTATGAAAATAGAGTTAGGAATCCAAATTTGTCAAGTTTCTTACAAAGCATAACAATATATAAGGTGAAAAACTATCCTAGGGGCAACTATATTAAGCATAGAAAAGGGCATCATTGTAATTATTAAGATATCCAAATATATGCATGTATATGCATATATGTGTGTGTATGTGTGTGCATGCATATATGTGTATATATGTGTGTGTATGCATATATATATATATATATGTATACACACACACACATACATTCAAAGTAAATTATGTTATTTCCTCTCCTGGGTTAACTTCTGTAAGTAATGGCATTGACTGGTGTCCAGTATAGAATGATTTTCATCTAAGTTTATAGGCTTTAAAATCATCCAGTGAAGAAATATTTATATTTACTAGTTCCCAAAGGCATGAAAAACCTGTCTTTGAGATTTTTGTATTTCCAAGGTGGCACAATCATCTTGTATAATAACTCTTGCAATGATCTAGATTCATGAAATGAAATAGGATGTACTTTATCTTGAGCTGCAGAATACTTTAAGTTACATTAGACATTTAAATCTTAAATGGCATGTAATGCTGCCAAGTGAGCATTAAGTAATACAACAGCATCTTTTAAAGATAATTGAAGGCAAAAATCACATTGTATTTGAAAGGAAGGCATTTTATAATTGAATCACATGTCAGCACGTGGAATCTCAGTTGATCTTGTTTCCCTGGGTCCAAACAGGAGCTTCTATTTGTGGGTGAACTTGTATTGATACCAATTGTTTTAACCTAGGCTCCTTAGAAACAAGAATCTGTGGAAAATCTAGTGCATTATTTCAGGATAGGGTAATGCGAGGACAGGAATTATGAGAGAAGAAAAGCAAGACAGAGAACAGGGAAGCAAATACAAAATGGTATATTACCAAGCTGATCATAGATTTGTTAAAAAATGCACCAAGCTCCTCAGTAATGTGGGCCCAACTTTTATGGTCATTTTCTCACCACTCCTTGCCTTTTTCTATGCCATGTACTGCAGCCATACGGAATTGACTCATCAAGTGTCCTATAGACACATGACATATACTTGGCCTTAGGTCCCTTACCTGTTCATCTTCTGTATCATCTTTTTATTCCCTTCATATTTCCATCTATTTTCCTGAGCTTTCAAGTTTCATACAGCCTCAGTGTAGATTGGATGGGACTCCTATAAATACACCTGGCTTCCTATACTTCTCCATCCTTCCTGGGGTGCAATATTGCCTTAACTGTCTTCCTTCACACATGATAAGTCACTTGAGGACAGGAATCAGGCCTGTTGCCAACGTCTTAGCACATTGTCTAACATTAAATGGGTGCTAAAGAGATATCGGTTGAAGAAACATAAATCCAGAGTTGGGTTTTAGCAGTTAGGGAAGTGGGCAGACTTATTGTCAAGCTGCTTCTAATTGATAATAAATAGTAAAGAAATTTCTAGTCCAAAACAAAAGGTGCTGAGGGGTTCTCTAAATATAACAACTGAGAAAATGTAACAGGATAATATGGCTTACATAGAACTTCTAATTTCATTCTGACAGAAGACAAATAATGATCTTATGAATGGAAGCCATTTAAAACAGAAAATGAAGTGTGGACCTGCCTTCACATTTCAATGTTAATAAACAGAACAAATAAAAAGAAACTTCTTAAAATTCAGAGATATATACAAACCCCCCTCAATTCACAAAATAATTTAAATTTAAATAAAAGCATGCTCCTAGGAAAATCGAGACACAATACTATTTTCCATCAATGTAATTTTACCTGCATCAATTTGGTTTCAAATCCAGAGTAAACAACTACACCAAGGGTCCACTGAGTATTTCTAAGCCGAGTACCTCTTAGCAAAATCTGGTCCGGTCTAATTGGAATGGGGCTTTAAAAAAAAGTATTTATTAATGAAATAATAATAATAATATAATTGAAATAAAATAACATCCACTTTCCACTTATATTTAAGAATTATCTTTTAACATCTATATTGATACCTCAGGATATCTTAAAGGTAAGCAAAACAATAAACAGTATATTGTTTCGAAGCGTTACTGAGAGAACAAGAACTGCCACATTCTATGTTCCAAAGAAGAAATGTTTGAGAAGAGAAATCTGATACCTTTTACCCCTTAGGTACAAGGTTCCAATGAAGCTATTGAAATGACGATTAGGTCCTTCACATTTTATTTTTCCAGACAGGCTTGACAGTTGTTTTTCTGTTTGCATTTCAGCTGTTTCTAACAAAGCCTACAAAATAATGTCAGAGAAAAATAATTTTAATGGCAACGTTCAGTGCCTTTCGTAGTCGATAAAGGATTATGAAAGTCAGTGTGTTATACTTACCAGACAATAAGCAATATACATTAAAACTTTAACATAAACTTTGGTAGAAAACTTTCCCACATCAACATTTTGCAGATAATTTTAATAGGTTCAAAGAAACAGAAAAGCTACATTTTCACCACCCCTACATAAAAATATCATTTTTGAAAGTGTAATCACTATATCCAAATACCATGTAATGTTTTACACATTTATGTCTTAGCTGATGATGCCAAACTAGACATTTTGAGTAGACAGGATGTAGGACAGTGATATCAGACTTTTGCATGCGTCAGATTTCTGTAGATGACTTATTATTAAAATACAGATTGCTGGGATGTTTCTCAAGGTTTTTTAATTCAGTATGTTTGGGGTTGGGTATCATAATTTGCTTTTTTAACATCTTCCAAAGGCTGGAGATGCTGGTCCAGGGCTCAGACTCTGAAAACTGCTGATGCAGAGAATGGGCATTCCAATAAAAAGATCTCAACCTTCTGAAAAGAAAAGATGAATCATCTCCAGGATAGTATCAAATTCCATCATTCTTACTAAGATAAGATACAGGAAGTCAATGAATATTTAAGTATTGAAACTGAAGACCATTAAATCTAGAATGTTATATAGTTCCAAGTAACAAGTAGAAAAGTTTAATACAATTCACTTCAGTCATTCATACAAAGTCTTAGAAATTTTGACATTCAGAAATATAAATTGAAACAGTTGGTGATAAACTTCTGTCCATCAAAAATACTTTAAAAGAAACATAACAGCAAGTTATTAACTGGGAGAATACATTTGCAATACATACGACTGACAAAGAATTACTATGAAAATACATTTTTAAATCCCATATATTATAAGAAAATACAAATATTCCAATAGAGAAATGAATGACACACTTCCCCCAAAAAGAAAATATGTATTACCGATAAAGTCAAAAACACAAGCTCAAAAGTGATATAAATTACCCAAAGAAAAAAATATTACCATATAGCAATAGAGGCTAAGAAAAATTAGTAAAAGACTTAATATTTATCCTAAAAAAATTAGCAATCTTCAAAGACAAGGAAATTCACCAAATCTGGTAAAAGAGAGCTACCAGGAACAAAAGCAACTATCATACTTCACTGTAAAATCTTATAAGCATTTCCACAGCATTCTGAAAGAAGAGAGTAGGTACTATCAATTACTTGCAGGTGCTCTGGAGTTCCTAGGGCTTGCCAGAGAAGTATGGGAAAATGAGGTATTAATACTGTTAGAAGGGAAATGACCCAACTTTTAAAGAGAGGATTTACTACCTGAAAAATCCTATATGCTTGACTCGAAAATCATAAAAATACATGAGTTTAGTACGAGGGATGGATAAAAGATTAATAAAAAAAATTAGGCATTGATATAAGAGTTACTCATCTCATAGAGGACATCTGGTTATTGTTAATAAAAATACTACAAACCTTTTTATAAAGGTTTTGTGAAAACATTTTCATTTCTCTGAAATAAATGCCCAGGAGTGCAATTGCTGGATCATCTGATAGTTAAATGTTTAATTATATACATAATTAACAAAATTTATTTCAACCAAGTGAATATGAGTGATCCAGTCTTGCCACATCTTTGCCACCATTTGGTGTAAAGTATGTTGTGTAAGATGTGTTTGTTTTGTTCCCAGTCTTAGGAGAAAGTATTTAGTCACCAATAATATGTTAATTATAAGTTGCTTTTAAAGACATTCTTTGCTAAGTTGACCGAATTCTTTTCTCTATATTTGTATGATTCTTTTTTTGTCATGGATTGACATTGAATTTTGTTAAATATGTTTCCTGCATGGATTGTTAAGATCATGTGATATTTTTTCCCCCTCCTAGTCTGTTAATAGGGTGAATTACAAGGGTTGACTTTCATTGTTAAACCAACTTTCAATTCCTGGAAGGTTCTTTTCCTATATTGCATTTCTGTTCACTGACACTTTTAGTCTGTAGTTCAATTTTTGGTTTTTAGTTGTTGTACTATCTTTGTCTGGTTTGGGTATCAGAGTAATACTAGCTTTATAAGATGAATTGAGAAGTACTTGAGCCAAAGTATGGGAAATATTGTGTATAACTGATACTCATTTTTCTTTATATGTTTGGTAGGATTCTTCAGTGAAACTACTGGGGCCTAGGTGTTTATTTTAGGGGGAGTTTTTAATTATTAACTCAATTTCTTTATTCTTACAATGTCTAATCAATTTATTTCAAGAAGTTTTTGTGTTGTTGTCATTGATTTCCAACTTTATTCCATTGTGGTTAGAGAGCATTCTCTGTTATTTCAGTTAATTTTGTGAGTATTGTTTGATGACATTGGTATTTTCTGTCTTGGGGTATGCTTCATGATCACTTGCAAATCTTGTATATCCTTTTGTCATTGGGTACTGTTATAAAATAGTCTGTTATGCAAGAGAATTGTTGGAGTTTCTAATTAGAGTTGTCTGTATATTTATCCTTTTAGTTATATTGTTTTACTTTCATATATTTTGCACATTTTCCTATAAATTGCACACTTTTTGATGCATAAAAATTAGTATTGCTGTCTTCTCGATGAATAAGACATGCTTATTTTGTTTCCAGTCTTAGGAGAAATGCATTTAGTTTTTCATCAATAATGTGTTAATTATAAGTTGCTTTTAAAGACGTTCTTTGCTAAGTTGACAAGGTTCTTTTCTCTGTATCTTCTAGATGAAGTGTTTTAAAATGTTCTTCTCTGTCTCTGGTATTTTTATTTGTTCTGAAGTATACTTTATATGATATTACATATTAATTAATGATTTCTTTTGATTAATCTGTGTTTAATATAAATCTTTCTATTCTTTTACATTTAACCAACACTGTAACATTAAATTTGAAGTGAACTTCATGTAAATAACATCTAGTTGGGTTGTGTTTTCTAATCCAATACTTTAAAATATCGCAATATAATATACATTTAATATGATTATTGATTGTCCTCTGGATTTTGCTGCTTTTTAAAATAAATATTAATTTATTATCTGAGGTAATATTAGGATACTCATATCTGGTATTCCACTTTGGTGCATCCACCACCAAATCACCCCATAATTCAACACCATGGTCCATTATATTTTTCTCTCTTTGTTCTTACCACCTCTAATCCCTCACTTTACCAGTTGGTCTATTCTGCTTCCATCCCTTTCGCCTAGATTTTTCATGTTCTATATTTCTCTGACTGTATCCAAATCTCCAACTCATATTTTTTTATGTGTTGATTTTATTTCTAAGGACATTCATTTTCTGACATTTCTTTGATTTTCTTTATCATACAGTTTTAAGCTGTATCTGATAGGAAGAACCTTCCTTCAATGTCTTTGAAATTGGATTTGGAGATTTGTTCTCTCTATATGAGGATTATTCCCCACTGACTAATGTGGCCACTTGTGTTTCTTCTTTCTTCCCAGTGTTTACTTTGCGTCCTAGCTGCTGCAGATGGGGCTGCTGCTGGGAGCGGCTCCTCTCTCCCCTCTGCTCATGTGTCTTACTGGTCTCAGGAAGAAGCTGGAGGGGTCTCCTGGGACATTGTGAAAACTGGGGCTGCTCTTGTACTTCTCTGGCATGATCTGGGACCTCACCTGTTCAGACAGGCATTGACGGGGCTTCTTGGGAGGTCACAAGCTAGATTTTGTTCTGGTTTCCTTTTCCTGCTTTTTTTTTGTTATTTGAACATTTTGATTTATTGATAATGTTCTTTCATTGCTTATCTTTGTATATGTATATGATCTTTTAGTGGTTTCTCTCAGCATTTATACAGATATTTACACAGCCATTTTACAAGTTTGAATAAAATACAAATGTATTGCTTCCTTTGATGTCACTTTACCTTCCTGGGTATAAAAAATATCTTAACTAGTTTAGCTATGTAGCCTAGAACCACATCACATAGTTTTATAATATTTGCCTCAAACATCAAACATAATTTTAAAAACTCAAGAGAATTAAAGCCTATTTTATTAAAGATTATTTTTGCTTATCATTTTCCCCCTCTTTCCTTATGGCCTATTTTATTGCTTTCGATTTAGATGCCTTCCTTTCACCATTCCTTTAGAGTAGATATTCTGATAACAATATCTGATAACTCTTAGTATTCTTTCATTTCAGAATATTTTAAGTTCCCTTGAAGGATATTTTTGCTGAATATGTAATTCTGGGCTACCAGTTCTTTCCTTTCAGCACTTAAAAAGAATTAGGCCACTTCTTTCTGGCCTCCATGGTATTTTTTCAATTTAAAACATTTTTAAATATATTCAGTATTTCATTCCTCATTTTTGTCCAATGTATGATTTCCCCTTGAAATTTTTACCATCTCCATGATTTTTAATAAGAAATCATCAGAAAAGAAATCATATTCAAATTATCTTTCCCCTAAGTAGTGTTGTTCAAATAAGTAGTATTGTTCAAATAGTTTTCTCTTTATCTTCATTAAGTTTTACTCTAGGATGTCATGGTATGGATTTCTGTGGGTCTATCCTTTTTGATCTTCTCAATTTTGTGACTGTGTAGTCTATGGCTTAACAAATACATTATTCATTATGTAACTTTTTATCCACTCTCATGCACCTTTCCTTTCAAGGCCTTATGACATGAACATTAGCTGTTTGCTTAGATTACCGCAAGCCCCTGCATGTCTGTTCATCCCTCCTCCCCCAAGCTGTTGTTGCTGTTCTTCAAATTAGCTAATTTCTATGATTCTCTTCAATTCATTGATTCTATCTTGTCTCTTCTGTTTGCTATTGAGGCTATCCCTTGAGTTTTATATTTCAGTTCTTGTATTTTGAAAAACTCCTGGATTTCTAAAATACTTTCTGCATTTCATATGTTTCAAACATGTTGGTGATTGCTCAATGAAACATTTTTGATGGATCGTTTAAAATCTCTGTCAAATAACTAACTACACTGTTATCTTGATGTTGATATCAATGTGTCATTTTTTTATTGAATTTGAGATCCTCCTAGGTTTAGATATTAGTGACCTTTCTTTAAAACGTGGGCAATTTGAGTATTATCCCTGCAGGCCTCCATTGATACACCACTGAACTGAAGGGGTTTGGGTAACCTGTTACTGCTGTCCACATGGCCCACTGCCACTATTAAGAGGGGAGAGCCTCATGGCCATCTTTATTATGGAATGAAAGTCCTAGCTTACTATGTGGCTTTCTCTGATGCCACCCTCATGGAGGACTGGGATGCCTCATCATGTATGGCCTGATAAAGGCAAAAATAGAAGCTTCCCACTCAGTCTTTTTTTGGCATGGGTGGGAGTGGCCATTTTTGACTGAAGTGGACATTGTCTCAAATTGTCCAGTCTTGTGAGCCTGATCTTTAGTGCTTTGAATAGAAAAAGAAAGCTTTTGCTGGTGTGTGTGTGTGTGTGTGTGTGTGTGTGTGTGTGTCTTTCTGGGTTCCTCAGTTCTTCTGTGTAGGATATATGAAGCAAAAGGCAACCTCTGGGAACTCACCACCATGTTGTTCCCTGGGTTCCAAGTTCTGCCATCTGGCTTGTCATTCAGAGTCTTCTTACATTCCCTATATAATGCCCAGTGTGTTTGGTTGTACTTAACAGAAAAAATAGAGAAAAGTATGTCTAGTCCATATTCCCAGAACAGAAGTCTGTAATTGCATTTTTAAAAATTAGGAAGATTCCATGAAATTATTAATAATACTTAGTATTAGGGTTAAAGATGGTTTGGAAGCTAAAGACAGTAGACTAAGTTTCTGTATTGCTTATTTGTTTTTATAAATATATTACTTTAGCAATTTCTAAAGAGTTCACTTTCATTTTCAAATTAAATTTTTCAAACAAAAATAGAAAACAGACATGTGAATTGTAAATGTAAAAGTTTGATTACTGCAGCAAATTAATCAAGCAAAGATTAAATTATCTTAAGGATCAATATATTTTTCCATTATAAAAAATTTAATTGGAAAATGACCTCTCCCATCTAATTATAAAGTCAAACTGAAATTCAAATAGTAATTTAAAAAATTCTCAATGGGTTACAGTAGAAGACTCGTGGGTGTCTTGATTGTATATGTCATATGGTAACATATATCTGAGTCATATAAAGTGTTGTAAACCCATTACCTCAAGAAAAGATAAGTTAATTAAGTTCTGGTATATGAGATCATTCATCACTCATTTTCAACCACCTTTCAGGTTAGTTATGTTACTTAACCTAGCCGTAACTTTATCACTGAAGCCCTAGAATAGAAATAGCGTCAAAACAATTTTTCCAGTCCTTTGAGCCTGCTCCTTAGTACTTATACAGGTTTGTTATTTTCATGGCCTAATTTTATAGGGAATTTTTTTTCTTACAATAATGACATTCACCACGATGGAGGACTGTGGGCACTTTGGTGGTAGTGTCGTGCTGTAAGTTAACATACACCAGTAGAAATTAGGACCTAAACCCATAAATCATTACAGTGCTGCAACCAAGTTACCACATTAAAAAAAATTTTTTTTTGAAAAATGCACATGGGAAAGAATTAGTGATTTGATCACCTAGTTGCTACATATCATATAGATTTAAAAAGCACCCTCTATATGATGAGGATAATTAAAATCATTCAATAGTATTGAGAGATTTTCTTTGTGAAGGAACTGATTAGTACCTGAGATATATTAATATTGTGCAGGTTGATGTAGAAGTAGTATAAAAAAGTGTCTTTACCTGCCGGATTTTTAGATTTGTCTCTCCATCTAAATTAGATGTTTCAATATAACATGTTGCCTGAGGTTCGCTATGAGAAATAAAGCAAATAATGTTGAATTAATATCTCCCAATACATTAGTTTCCCAATAATGGTAACTATGAAATGTTATTTGCATTGGTGATAATTCTTCAAAACTGAAGGATTTATTACAATTACTTTGCCAGGAGACATTAGTAGTCTGACCCGTTAAGGCTAAAATTCCCCTTGAAGAATGACACCAAAGAAAATTTCTCCCCCTAAAGATCTGTGTGATTACTCTTTAGTCCCAAAAAATGAAATAACTGAGGAAGTACAAGAGATGTTATGTAGTTAACAAAAGAACGGTCAAATCTGAGTTCTAAAATGGGTTTATCGTAGTCTGTAGTTAATCATTGACAAAGGACCCATGACTACACAATGAACAACTGCGATCCCCTTTAACTAATGGTGCTGGGAAACTTGTACAGTCACATGGCAAAAGAAAAGAAGAAGGAAGGAAGGAAGGAAGGAAGGAAGGAAGGAAGGAAGGAAGGAAGGAAGGAAGGAAG